TTTTCAGCTATTCATGGCTAAGCAGGACTCCAACCTGATCTCAGAACCGCTGGGTGGGCAGAGATGGTGAGCAGTGGGGACTGTGGCAGCACCTCCAAGGAAATCCCAGGGCTTCCCCCTGCAGCACAGCACTGCCTTGCAGAGGGAGGATGTGGGAAGGGATTTCAGACCAACCAAAGAGGAGATCAAAGCTGAAACCTGATGTACCCTTAGGTGACTTGTTAACATCTCAGTGCATGTAGGTTGTGCTTGGAGAAGTTCTAGCCGTTATCTAAAGGAATAAATTGTTCCTGGCACTAAGTGTTAATGGCCTGGGAGGGAGAGAGGTACTGAAGCCCAGAGATGTGAGGAGCATCTGTTGAGAGTCTGACTCTTGTGCATTTTGGAATTTAGGCTTCTAGCTCAACTATTGTCTGCTGAAGAGAAACCATCATGTTGAGGCAACCAGAAGATATTTCAAGGGAGAAGTGGCTGAAACAGCAGAGCTGCAAGTGATTTTATCTAATCTGCCTTTGAGAACCCAGATTATGGCTGCCAGGTGTGCTACAAAAGCCCATTTGGAGTTTGCTCGTGGAAGAAAGAGTCTGTTGAAGGGAGATGCAGCCATGTGCTGCTGGAGTGGACTACTGAGGGGTAGGTTTGTTTTGTTTGAATGGGTTATGCAGCTGTTCCAGGCTTCTTGTGATTTAGCCAGGCAGGATTTCGCCATGGAAAGTGAGCAGAGCATGCTGTGAAATGGGGATTTTGGCAGGTGGCCAGGGCTGAGTTTCTGACCTGGTACTGCCTTTGCCCTGTGTGGTGTGGGGCAGGCTGAAATCAGTGTGGGTTGTATCATCTTTTGTTCCTTCTGCTGGGCACACAGGCTCCAAGCACTGCTGATACAAGAGGTTTGAATGCAAATGTCCCAGAGGCTGTGGTGGCTGGCAGGGAGCTGGCTGCCCTGTGGGCTGGGGAGTCAGGGCTGCCTGGCACTGCTCTGTCCCTGCACTCCTGGCTCTGAATTCCTGGCTTTGGGTCAGTGATGGTGGGGAGGAAAAAATCCACTTCTCATCACTCAGTGGGTTGCCAGGGAGAGTCGTGTTCCCAGGAGGATCCCTGTCACCTGGCAGCCAGGAGAGCCAGGATGTGTCCTGACAGAAATTCCAACTTTTTGTTCCTTCCAGACTGGCTGCCTCTGCTCTTCCCAAAGCCTGAGGATGTTTGACACCCTGCTATGTCCTGTCAACTGCAGTATTTTTCCCTGTTCCTGTTGTTGTGGCATGCAAAGGTGGTAGAATAGCTTCTCCCTAAACTTCTGCCTCTGAAATTGTCTCTATCACTCCGATTTACTTTGTCACCAAAGATTTCCTTGTATCATTTTATAAAAATTTTTGACACTAAAAGAAATGTTTTCAAAATGTTTGGCCAACTCCTATAGGTCTCAGGGGCTATTCCACAGCATCTCCTGTAGCCTGGAGTGTAACTAGAGCTCCCACTGTAGTGTTTGAAACTCAAAGGTTGGATAAAAAGTATAAAGAAATGAACACTTTTGTGCCCTGTGTCTTATGTGCTCAGAATGATCTGCTGGCAGAAATTTAATTTTGTTTCCAGTAATTTGAGGTTATGGATAGGATTACATCTCCCAGTCAGAGAGAGACATTAATCAAGAAATAGGCCTCTTAATCCTCCTTTCAATTTTAATGAAACACTGTAAAAATGCCTTTCACCAGAGGATGTCAAGTATCAGTTGTGCTTTGATTAACATGCTTTTGTGACAGGTTTACTGTTGTACCATGTACCAAGTTATTCAGCAACCTAATTTAAGCTGTCTGTCAAGGGAAAACAAGTACAAAGAGAGCATTATTTTCTCATTGGACTTGCAATAACAGACTTCTGCATCTACAAACTTTTCTTTTCTTTTTTTTTTTTTTAAATGCTGGTTACTCCACGCCCGTTGTGACATTTTTAACCTTCGAAATAAACGGGTAAAAGCTGGACGTGACACACATCACACTGTCCCCTGAATGGCAATTAGGAAGGAGATAAGAAATCGGAAATGTTTTTGCAGCTGATGTAAGTTAAGCTCTTGCCTTTCTCACAGCAAAGCGGAATTTGGATCAACTCTTCTGGAATATAATGGGTGTAAATCTGGGGCAATTGAGAGGAGCACTGGGCCCTGAATCTCTAATCCTCTCTTCTCTTTTCCTGTCCCTCTTCTGAAGTCAAAACACATTTTCAATGGAGGCTTTGTGGCTTGAGTTGCGTTTGGCTTCTTATCTGCTCAGTTTTTTCTTATGTGGCTTGATTATATTAGATATGAACTTCCTTGTGGCTGGAAGCCAACACCAGACTATTCTCTCTCCCAGTCTCTGAAACCTGACAGGGGAATGCCAAGCCTTTGCACAGGAGTTGGTTTATTTTTAGAGAGGGATGTTTTTGCTCCTGCCTCTTTAAAAATTGACCTCTTGAAACAGAATGGCCCCAGATCATCTCAAAGTAGAATGTAGCTGGAGACTGGAACCTTCCATGCAAATGCAGCCTCTTCCAGCTGACATGGCACACAAGTCCACAAGCTGCCCTCACCAGCCTGGCACCCACCAAGCTTTAAGAACTCATTTAACAGAGAAGTTTTCTGTGGGAGTGGGTGCACTTGCACTCTAGGGCTGTGGAATTTGGGTTAAAGGCTTCACTGTCCCTTCTCTTGTGTTGGCTGCTCTCTGGACAGGGGAAATTAATTACCACAAGGTCTTTCCATTTGAAAAGATTATAAGTGAGGTCTCAGCCCAATTCTGATGGCTAATTGCTGCCAGGAGGCTGTGGCACCACATGCCTTGCTTGGCTTCCTGGAGGGAAGGGCTGCTGGAGCTGCAGCACCTGGAAGCCAGGGAGTCTTTGGGCTGGCAGGTGTGCAGAGGTGCCAGTCCCATCTGAGCTGGGCTGGTTTCCCTGCTGACCAGCAGCAAAGGTCTGGCAGGAAGGAAAGCTGTGGCATGTTCTTGCCTTGTCAGGTTTCTCAGGGCACCAAGACCTGCTCAGGTCCCTGACCTCTAATTCCCTCTGCTACTCTGCCAGGGTGCTCTATACATCCTGGTGACCGGGGAGGGTGTTCAGGAGCCATTTGTAACATCTTAATGGCCATATTAACGCCTCTAATTGTAAATGACAGGGCAATTAGTCTCGGCATAGCAGTTTGAACAATTATGTTTGGCCTGCTAAAGTGACAGAATATTCATTAATGCAATAAGATAAAAAAAGGTCTCCTCAGGGTTTGTTCCTCTGAGGAGAGTAGCCTGGCTGTTTGTCTACTTTAAGCCTCTAAAAAAATGCGAGTTTATTTGCAGCTCTTGCCAAAAATTCTCAGCTGTCAAGCCTGTTTATTCCATGAAACACACTGAGGGCAAGTGTGTGTCTACTCTGCCTCTGACTTGACTCACAGGGAAGAAGTTTAAGAGAGAGAAAAGTGCTTCAATCTCTGTTTTCCACAAAGCCAAAGAGTCTTGGGGCCTCTTAGCTGAATCCCAAACTATGGAGATAGAATCCACTGATGGAACCAGGGTGTACATGCTCAGGGTCAGAAACTGTGGTGGAAGTTGTGCCAGGTCTGAAAGTTTCTCAGTGTTTGCCCTGCTTTGCACTCGAGCTCTCATCTAAAAACAGATCTAAACCTCATCTAAAAACTGTTTTTCTGGAGGAAGCTGTGCTTCAGCAGAGCCAATCCCAGCTTTGAAAGCCTTGCTGCCTTCAACAAGACTGCCAAAACCTGAGGCAGCAGGGGATGAGAGGGCACCTGAGTTGATGATGTGTTACATTTCTGACTCTCTCCATCACATTTCACTGCTATGAGGCAAGTGAAGGCACATGTGGTTTGATTTTGTCCATGACACTGATTTTCCCTGCAATGGAAGCTGCAAAATAGGGAATCAGTCTTTAGGTGCTTGCAAGAATTCTGTTTGAAACCTTGAAAATGGTAACATTAGCACATTGGTTTGGTTACCTGCTCACTTTCTGTCCTTTTCCTTTCTGACATGCAGCAAGAGGCAATTTTCCAGGGGTATTTCAATTATATTGCCATCACAGATCTGAGGGATCCTATGGGATCTCCTTGGGCTGGGAGTTTTTTCAAGATGTCATTGAGGGATTTGGGTGAAGGGCAGCCCTAAAGGCACACTCATTTTCCCAACAATCTTTGTATGGTATTGCTCTCAAACAACATGCATGATGAACCTTGGAATTCTTTAAACAAACTTTGTTTAATGTCTTAACCAATGAGCATCCTGGTACCTTGGATGAAGTGGCACTGGTTTGGGGTTTTATTTTGGTTTTTCTTTTTGATAAATCCATCTGAAATCTGACTAGTGAGGTTGAGATTTTTTAAAAAATAGCTTCACTCCTAAGTGAAAGCTGTCATTGCAGATGTGTTTTAGTTCAGTGGAAACATCAGGACTGTGTTTGGGACTGCAGGATCGTGACATCTTTTTAAGCACAGTGGGAGACAGATGGGTGAGCAGCCAGCTTGATGCAAGAACAATAAGAACAAATGAGCTTTTTAAAAATAGAACAATTGCATTTGGAAAGAGGATTGGAGGGGGGTGAAGCTGAGAGGGAAATAATTCTCCCATGATTCTATCCTGGTTTTTATATTAAACAAAGCATGTTGCAACATTGTCTTCGTTAGCAATGAAGTGACAAACTGGAGCACTTCCAAATTGGCTGGCTCCAAACTGCTTTCATATTGACCTGAAATGTCAGCTGCTATTATGTTCTGCTGACCACTGATTGCTTCCAGAGTAGCATTTTCTCCTGTGAAATGAAAGAAGTTCCATCTCAGTGATCTCAGTGTCTCCTGGAGTTTGTGGAGAGCGATAGTCATGGGAAATGATAGTGCCTTCACTTCAAACTTCTCGGTTTGAATGAAATTAATTTGTTAATATTGAAATTATTTTACACTGTGAGAGTGAGTTTTGTGCAAGAATGTTTTGCTCATCTAGAAGATCCTCCACTTCACCTTCTTAGAGTCAGAAAACCAAGGTGATAAGTGCCTCTAATTTGTTTCCCTACCTTCACACACAGGTACACAGAGTTGGGCTTGGACATAGCAATGCTGATATCCTGCCTTGCAGGTAAACTTTAAAATTTTCATGTGGAAATATGTAAAAAAACCTCCATAAATATGGAGAAATGGTACTTCTTGTAGCAGTTGTTGAAGTTCTGTGATCAGGTATCAAATGATGCGATGGAAAGTATTTAGCTTAATTTTTTAATCCTCTTTAGAAGACAGGAGAATATTCAGATAATTTTTATTTCACATAATGCTGGCTTAAAATTATGTTAAAATGTTGTAAAAGCCTCTTGGTCTTTAATTCTCAGGGAAATAAACTATGTAATCTGCAAGGTTTTTTCAATATTTTTCTTTAGAAAACCTGTGTAATATCACTTATTCACATTCCTACACTATTTTTCTTGAAGAAGTGATATCTTCCAAGCAAAAGTGCAGGAAATAGGTCTATTTTTTTTTTTTTTTTTTTAAGATAAACAGGTCTGTTATCTTCTTAAGTCCAGAATTAAATACACTGGACATATAACCCTACTGGATCTATTCTTGTAAAGCAACAGCAACCAAAAAACCTTTAAATTTGGGAAAACTACATGCATCCATGTCAGCTTGTGGGCTTCCCCAGTTATCTAGTGTGGATGAACTCTACAGAGTATCCATTCCTGTACCATTTTCCTTCTTGTTAAAGTCCTACTCTATACTTGTACTTACCTCATTTGTGAAAGAACAAGAAACAATGGATTTCCTAAAAGGGAGAAGAGGAGCATAAAGTAAAATGATCATGATTTCAGAAGAGGCATTGACTGTCCTCTATTTTGTGTGTCATTGATATGTGATTCTTGCTAATATTTTACATGGTGAAATCTGACAGTTTTGTCCATTTAGACCTATTCTCTCTCTATTAAATTAAATTAAAATTAAGGTCAACTTGTGGAAGAACTAACAGCCTTTATGAGAATATTGTTTTCTGATTTTATTTTTATAGAGCTGTCTCCACTCCGTCTGATCAATTACTAAGAAGAAAATAAAATCTGCAGCACTTCTGTCTATTCCTAGGGGAATGCTGAAGTATCTCAAATAAAGTAAAACCAACTCCTTGCTGAAGCAGTGGATGAAGAGTTGAGTATTGGCATGACAAGACAGAAATGTTGTTTCATAATGCTGTGCATGATATTTCTGAATGCTGAGTGGAGTTCGGGCAATTAAAAGAGGAAATCCGTAATATAAAACACAAAAGCAAATAGTTACCTGTGTGGAGAACAACAACAATTACTCCACCACGAGGAGATTTCATCAGAGGGATGGATATTCAAAGAATCTTGTGATGGGAGCCCCGAACAGCAGCTCAGGATGTTTTATTTGCAAAAATGAGTTACATGACTTGATTTATGGCAGGTTAAATTGCCTTCTTCAGAGTTGGGGGTCAATCTGTCCAACATCCCACAAGGAAGCTCTTCCTAATGAAAACAAACTGTCCCTAGTACAGGCCAGGAAACCTCCCTGGTCTTGTGGGGAGCCTGGGATCTTGCTCTGTGCTTGCAAAGTGAAAAGTCTGGATTGGGAATTTTTGCAGTGCTACCTTGGGGACCTGCTGTAATACCAGCTACAGCTTGCAGCTTCAAGATGGTTGGGATTGTCAGGGAAAAGAAATAATTTTTTCTTTATTTTTAATTTTTCCCGACAGTGGAATGAAGGTGCACCTATGTTTGTGCCAATACTGCTCTTATTAGAAGCAGTGTTTGAAAGTTTTTGCTCTTTTTAAAGCGATTTGAAATTTAAAAGGAACAAAATGGGTGCAGATCTTCTTGACACAAGCTGATGGAAGAGAAGGCTTAGATATTTTTCCCACTTCTGCTGAAAAGAAATCTGTTCCAGGCAGCTGCTGCTTTTATCATTGTAATAATCCATGGAGAGGGCGAGCAGAATGGCACTGGGGCTGGATCTGGGGGATGTTCTGCTCCTGCATGTGAAGGGAGCACAGAGCAGTAGCTGCAGCGCAGCTGAGAGCAGTGGTGAGCCCCAAAGTAAAGGGGTTCTGATGAAGGAAGCCATTACTAACTGCTGGCCTTTGGAGAAGGAGATTGGAGCTTCCAAAGCATCCCAGAATAGCTTTGTTTACAAAGCTTGCAAATAATTGAAGTATTAGCAGCGCGATTGAGTCATAGGGAGATGAAACGGTTTTACAGCTGCTGTGATGATTCTTGTGAATCTGCAGGGGTTTGTCCATTGGGAATTTCATCCCTAACAGTAGAAATAGCAGCTCTCACTATGAGTCAGGGCTCATGCTTAGCAGAAGGCAACTAGGGCACTGGTAAATTCAGTAAATGTGAGTCAGTGCAGCAGCAGGAGTGACCACAGGGCTCCCGAGCTGTGCCCACCCCGTTTCTCTCCAGCCTGCTCCCTTACAAGCTCTTTTCTGTCCTCCACAGAGCTCCAAAACAGCTCTCCTGAAGCTCCTTTCAGTGGGTGGTTGCCCAGCTGTCTTTCCTGATGCTCTCTGAAATGCCCAACAAGCCAGGCATGAAGGGCACCAGAGGAATGATCCTCATCTCCTGGGAACCAGGGAGCTCTCTGCAGCAAGGCAAGGCTGTAGGGAGGCATCCCTGCTCCCTCCTTGGCTCAGGGAATACAGGTGAATAGATTTCCCACGGTGGGTCTGTCCCATCCTGGGTTTTGTCGCAGCCGACAGAGCCAGCAGGAATTTTGTCGGATCCCCTTGTTAAAATATTAGCTGCACTTCACTGAAAGTCTAATGCTTTAAATTCTGCTGCAATGGCCTCTCAACCCCTGCAACTGTAGGGGGAAAAATTCTGGCCAAATAAAGGATCTGTGAACACATCTCTTTTTATATGACATCCTGTTAGCCTTAATAACAGTTTTCTCTCTGTAAGTGCAGTAAAGTATGGAAATATTGCTATGCTACATGGTGCAATTTTCCGACAGTGATTTTCTGTGATAAAAGCCTTCAGAGAGTGCATTTTCCTTCCCACTTATCTGCCATCAAAAGGCAGCAAATACATTCAGCTGTCATTCTAAACAAAATATACAATTACTCTGGGCTGATGTTTTAAACAGAAATAATTTCCATCGCAAAAAAACCCTGCAGCTATTTTCTAGATGCTGTGGTGTTTGCTTCAGGCTTTTTGCATTACACATGTATCACCTGTTTTGGACATTTGAATGCAAAGATGAGATATCACAAGTTAAAACTTAGCACTTGCCAAATTAAATATTTGCTGGGCTGAGCCCAGTTCATTACTTGACTGCTGTTTTGCACCAGAGGATGAAAAATCTTTTCTAACATGCCAAAGGTGGTTATTTTAGGAAGCTGACGAAGAGGGCAGATGTTATTCAAGTGGTTGGATAAGAAAAGGAAATAGTACATGTTAAGCCTTCTGGAATAACCAGGTAGATGAAAGCAAGTGGAAATATTCCTGAAATATGCTGGTTTGTTTGGACTAATCTAAGCAGAAAATATGAGATGGATATTTGATACTTCATCTTTCACAACTTGAAATGTTAAATTAAGGCTGCTTGTATCTCATGTTGCTTGAAATAAATTACTTTGGGGCATATGAGCTTTGAAAGCACCCCAAACCAGAGCAATGTTCCTGTGGCGTGGTTTCACTTGCTTAGTTTATTTTGGCATACAACTTATACTGAAGATCAAGAAGTTTCATGAATCTGTATTTAAAAGCTGAGATGGAAATTTTTCTTATCTTGTTTCTAGGGCTGAACCTAAAAATAATAGTAAAAAACAGCTTATCTTTGCAAAACAAACAAAACTTTCTCATTTTGACTCAAATGGAAAGACCACTGGAACAGGGTATCTAAAGAAGTGGTGGAATCACCATTCCTGCAAGTGTTCAAAAAGAATGTGGATGTGGCATTTGAGGACATGGTTTAGTGGTGGTGATGGTTCTGGGCAAACAGCTGGACTCAATGATTTTAGAGATTCATTTCCAACCTTAATGATCTCTTTTCTTTTGGAAGTCACTTAGGCTTTATTCCTCTTTCTGTCACCCCAGCTTAAAAAAAATTATACTTCAGCTGTGTCATTCTGAAATGCCAACTCAAAACAGTTGAAAACTTCCAAAAGTATTTTAGCACTACTAAACTAGAACTGTTGAGTTTGGAAGAGAAATCTCCCCCCCTGCCTAAGGCAGAAACACCAACCCCCTTTGGAAACATGAATAAAAAACCTATTCTGATACTTTTATTGTCACAAAATCATTTAGGTTGGAAGGGACCTCTGCAGATGATACACTGCTTGAGCAAGGAGAATGGAATGTCAGCTGGAGCAGGCTGGCCATGTCTGCTTGGGTTTTGATGTTTCCACAAAGGGAGATTTCTTCTTTTTTTCCCCCTTAAATTAGCATCATTCAAATAGAATACAAAAAACCTCTTTCACCTCACCTTTTTTTTATTTTTTCTGGGATGCATTTTCCAGAGAGTACTGCTATTTGCTCCAGTTTGGGTTTTACTGTTGGTTATGTATGCAGCATTCTCTGGAGAGCACTGCAGCATCTTCTGGTTTCATACAAGGAGGTCTGATTCACTCTCCTTGTGGAAATTTTCATATTATGATTAAACTTGGCTTTTGTTCAGAGGGTCTCTGAAGTGGGATTCAAATTTGCTGGTGAGGTCATGTCACCAGTTAGAGCTCCTGCAATGAAACAGAGTCCAGAATGAAGACACATGGCCCTCAGTTAAATTATGTTAATTCAGTTTGAGAAAATGAGTATTTAGCATTTCGTGCTGTGTGAAGATATTGTTCTATAGCGACAGAAAAAGTCATTGACCTTCCCATGCAAGCAGCTTTGCTGGTTCCTGTGACCTGAGCCAGCCCTGCTCTCCAAGTGGCCATGGGTGTGTTGTGCCAGACCCTCCCTGCTGGAAAGTTCATGGATTTTGGTTCGTCTCACACTCAGGTCTGAGCTGTAGAACCTCATCAGTGTTTCCTGGTCGAGTCACCAGTGCCTATTCCTAGGGACAGATCATTTACCTGCTCCTTCTCCTGAGGATGTTGGAGCTAATTCCAGGCTTAGAGAAGTCCATAGCAGGACTCAGCATACAGAAGCAGGATTTTAAGCAGAAAAATAAAGCCAGCCTTTTGGTGAGATTTAGTCGAATCGGCTGCTCTGCTATTCATATTTATCCAGCAGTGGTGTTCAGCTTTATAATTAAAATAATCTAACACTCTAGCATAAAGGTCAAGCAGCAGATGCTGCCATTAGACCTGACAGATCCACTGATAAGCTTCACTTCAAGGCAAAGCATTTAAGAAGAAAACAAAGCCTCAACTTTTAGTATTTCCAACCACACGTGCACATTCACAAATGGGTGTCTTATCAGAGAGCTTATTCTTTATCTTCTAGTAGAAATATGCACTGCCAAGGCTCAAACTTTTGCAAGCCATGCCACGCCACACACAATAAATAAAGTGGATATTTCAAATAAGATATGTGACACGTCTGATTAACAATTCTTTAACTACAGTCAAGTGTTTGTGTAGTTAATGGCAAATGTGTTCTGAAGAATGAATGGATATTTCACTAATACACAGAATATCTTTGCATAGTAATAATGGAAGAAAAATCAAATTATTCCGGAGTCTGACTAGGCATTGAGTGGAGTTTTATGAGAATGGAAATTGGAAAGAGAAAGGGCCATGTCTCTTTTCTCACCAATCTTTTATAGGTAATGAATTGTTTAGAAAATTTAGCTAAGGAAAAGCTTTTGAGTTGAAGCCTGACAGTCCTTCAGGTTATTCTTAGAGGTTATCTCTGCAAGGCAGGTGGATGAGGAAAGAAACAAGCTTAACCCTATAAAAATAATTATGATATATTATTAGCAACTAATGGCAGTGTAATGGAGCCTTTTCAGCAAAGACACCACTGGCTGCAATTTCTCTTTGTCATCTGCATAAAAATACAGCTCTTAATGAAGCCTATATTCTGGTAATTTCTCAAACTCAGTGTAATTAGCAGGAAACTTCCTGCACTGGAAACTTCTCATGGCTCAGCAAACTACTCCACACTACCACTAATGGGAACACCCTAGCAGGGCAACAAGCCTCAACACTAAAATCAGCATTAGAAATCTGTTCAGACCACATGATCTACTAGATCAAGAGTATACCTGGGCTTTTTCATTCCTTACCTAAATTTTTACTTTGTGACTTTTTTTCTTTTACATTAAACATGCTGACATGACTTTATGAAGGTTTACATGTCAGAAGCTGTTGGATCATTTTACTTCAAAAGTCATGAAAAGTGCCTGTAATAACTGTGTCTCTACAGTCTTTGTGAAAAGAGACAGCTGGATTGAGGCTGGAGACCCTACACATAGCCCCATAAATCAACAAGGGGAGCAAAAAAAAAAAAAAAATTAAAATCACTGTAAGAATGGAATTTGAGAGACTGTAATCAACAAACACTGGATGCATGAATGCGTGGTCCATTGCCTAAAAAGACTTGGGAAATATTTGGAGAAATGAAAAAGGAGAACAAGAGGACGAGGATGACATTAGCAAAAAGCAGGGCACATTACACAGTCAATAAGTAATTGCTGCAATTGGAGCTCATCATCTGCTTAGCACTTAATGTCTTGGCCTTTTCAGAGTGAATTTTATTAATACTAATGTCTGAAGAAAACAGTAAAGTCATTATCTCTGTTGATCCTTGAGATGTTCAAAAGTGAAGCTCTTCTCCTCTTGCTTTTGATTACTTGACTCTACCAAATTCTTCGTGTTGCCAAGGGCTCTCAGACACTTAAAACTTGCCCCCAGGGTCTCTGAGGAGAAGGAGTGTCAGCACTGCTCCCCTACAAGCACATACCAGCTCCTCCCAGCCACATTCTTTTCCTTCAGATGTTTGGAAATGGAGCAAAAAACACCAGAAGTCATCCCCTTCCCAGGAGTCAAGGTGGGACCAACCAGCCTGTGGTTTTCTCCAGCAGACCTCCCAGAGGTGATGCTGAAATGCCTCCTGGACTAGGATGGCTTTTGTTCATACCTTGTTCTTTAGAAACCACAGCATGAATTTCTTGTATGAATTCTGCTGATCTTTTTGCTTTTATGTCTCTTCTGTTTCCTTGCATCAGTTTCCCCAGTTAAGAGTAACTATTTGAGGTGCTCAAGGCCCTTGCAGCAAGAGCAGACTCATTCACAGTCCTGCAGAAAGATGTTTTCTGTGGATTTTCTCTGAAATTGCTAGTCAAAAATCATTTGTGTGCTCTAAAGGTGAGGGTAAAACAGAGGTCTTGGAATGAAAGTGTTGGAAAGACCTTTTCCTGTGTCTTTTTTAAACATTGATTTCTTGAGGAAGGCAGATCATCAACAAGAGAACAAAACAAACCCTCACAGGCTGGGGTGGGCCCATTAGAGGAATGCAGGTTCATTAGTCCTGCTAAATATGATACTGAGTGTAAAGTCAAAAAAGCAGAGTGAGGTCAGGAAAACTTGGCAGTAAATCAGCCAAGATCCATTATATTCCCTTTCACATGGCTGAGTAGTGGTGGCACTAATTGAAGGCTGGGCCCTCTTTTTGCTGACTAACACGGGGCCATTTTAATTTCACCTGATTATGTTGCCCTGTTGTAAGAAGTCTGGCAAAACAAGGTTTGTGGAGACTCCTACCAATGAGTCCTTGGCTGCCCAAAAGCTCTCTTGGAAGCTCGAAGGTTTCTTTTAATAAGTGGACTGACCCATTTTCATTTCTGAACATCCCAGATAAATTTGCTACTGTACTGCTGCATTTCAGTTAAAGCTGAAATGTAGATTTCTGTAGTTTGTCAATCTGTATGTACTGTGTGTGTGAAACTTTAAATATTGAAAAGGTAATATTAAAAATGTTGCAATTCCTACCCACCCAATTACTTGAGCAAGACTGGCCACCCGAGGGTTGCCAAAGAGTGGGAGTAGATAAAATAAGTGCTGTTGTAGGAAAAAAACCATACAATAGTGGAATTGTTTTGGGAGAACTTTTTGTCACATACTTGGATAAGAACTGTGACTCTTTGCTGCTTTTATCAACATTATTTGTAATTTCCTCATATATTTCCCCTGCTCTTTCTTTGCAGATCCCTGAGCAGACCCATTCAGCTGTATAATAAGGAGATGAGTTTTACCTCCTTTTTATCACTGCAAATCTAAAGTGACCCTGCAGAAGTCAAACTGGTGTTGGCTAGGGGAGAAATGGTCCCACTAAAAGACTTCCTAAAGAGAAAAATCCCCTCTCCATTTGTGGAACAAATTAACTACTGGAGGCATCCATTTGGATGCACCTCTCTGGGGCCAATGACCAGAGAGATTTAAAAGTCCATTATGCTAATGCCTAATTCCTTCTTTGCACAGAGGAGATGTCCTCACACGCTGGGCTGTGGCAAGGTCCTGAGTTTCCATCAGGGAAGGGATTTACATCAGCCAGGAAACATTTGGTGATCATGACCAAGTGCGTTAATCATCGGCTTGGATTAAAAGTCACTGACGAGTTGCTCTGGGAGCCGTGTGGCTGTGCAAGGGAAAAAAGGCAGAACGAGCCTGTCTGAGCAAACTCAGTGCGCCAGAGAGGGATCATCCTCTCCCTCTGTTGGCTGCTGACACATTATACAGAAATGGGGCTCTGTCACAACAGGACAAGGCCAAATCTTTTGTTTCTTTTAGGGCACGACGGCGTGGAGGCTGCTTTGTTTGAGGAGGGTGTCAGTGTGTGGTGCCACATGGATCTTGCTGCTGGATGGCTGCTCCAAACAGGACAAAGCTGAGTCCTGATTTGTGTGTCTCAAATGGCTTCTCCATGGCCAGAAGAAGCTGGGTTTGGAGGCCCAGCCTTCTGGGGGTCAGCACCCAGAGCCTTGCCTAGGGATTTTTGGGAAGCTGGAGCAGCCTACTAGTCCCTTGAGCCATCTAGTGGTGCCTTCCTTGGCTATTGAGCAGAACATCTCACTAAAAAAAAAACATAAACAGCATCTCATTAATGTGAAAATAGTGATTAGTGCTAGAAGCAGGCCAACAACAATGAAAGCATCAGTGCTTTTAGTGGAGTTACCAAAGCAACAGAAGTTCTGGCCTGGAAATGGCAGACAAGAAAAAGAGGTGGATGCCAACATAGGATGCTCCAGGCTGAGAAGATTGGGCTGTTGTGATCTGTTTTGTGCTTTTGTCTTGGTGTTTGCAGCCCTTTATGGATCCTCACTGAACGAGGCTGGGATTTGAAAAGCAAAGCTGAACTTTCCGACCTGAAACCTCAAATCCTTTTCTGATGGTTTTTGTAACTGGAAAGCGGAAACAGAGCCTTCAGTAATTCAAAAGAGATTTAATGATCAAAGCTGCAATTAAAAGCGTGGTGAGTCATCTTACAGTCGTCCATGTGCTAAAACATCCAGGCTGTGCAAGAGATCATGTTGTCATGGCTGGTTTTACTCAAAACAAGGATATAGGAGCTGCTATTACTTCCAGCTTCAGAAACAATCTGAGTTCTGCAGACCTGACCTGTGTTTATAGAGCAGAAGAAAAAGCAACAGTCCTGACTCCCCCATTTGTGTATTTTATTTAGTAGTTCTGTCTGAAACATCTGAATTCATTATGGTGCTTTATTACTTTTCGCCTTCTTTCAGAGTGTCTGCTCTCAGTAGGAATCTTGATTTTTTTTTTCATTTACACTAACAAATTACCCACCAAAACAAATATAGAAGAGCTGATCTTTAGAGTATTATGGGTGTTTTTTTGCTTTCTGCAGCATGCACCAACAATGAAATATTTAACTGAACTTTTCACAGTATGTGCATTTTCTCAAATTAAAATTGCAAAAGACAAGGAAATGAAGATAAAAATACCCAACCACGTTGCTCCTCAGAAACCCTCACAAGTAATCTAATATTTCTCTTTAAATCCTGTTGTTTTATTCTGCTCAATACAAAAAATAGTGCTAAATAGAATTTGGTTTTAGTAAAGGAGGAACTTCTTCCTAAAAGTGTTTAGCCTGTCACACACAAAAGCCACTAAAAGGAAGCAGAACTGGTAACTCTCTACTGGAGAAATGTAAAAAAAAATTGATAATTTGCTACCAGTCTTGCTTTCCCTGTTCCTCAGTTTCCTTCCTAGTGGTAGTGAGGTATTTCATGTTTTATTTTCAATTTCTCATAATGGTTGCAATATTCAAACTCTAACCCACGTAATTCTAACCTAGAATGTGATTGCCTACTTTGCAAAAATCACTGCTGTAGCTTTGCTCCTTCAGGTTTATTTGTAAAACAAGATTTTTTATCTTGCCATTTTTGACATCAGGTGCCTCCAGTCAGTGACAGATAGATGAAAATAAATGCCAGCTTTTACGAGAATCCCAAAAGGAACATCTAATGTAAAATATAATGCAATCAAATAAATTGGTGCTTTCTTCCCCAGCTTTATCTGAAAAGAGACCTGCTCTTTATGCTGAGACAAAATAGGTTATCAGATCTAGCAAATCTTGCAAACAAGCAAATTCAAATATCTTACCATGGATCAAATCCGTTGTGGTCACTTCATTCAGTTGACATAACACAGCTATAGAAAATGCTTTTAAATCCTTATATTGCTTTACAAATTCAATTGTTTAGCAAATGAGAAGTAGAATTGCTATCTCTGTATTTTGAGTGTATGAGAATGGCCTTTATCTACTGCAGTCAAAGAGTTGGCACAGTTTAATGGGGAAATAGAAGAAAGCCCTGTTAAGAAAACACGGATCTTGAACTAAAGGATTTTATGGATTTTTCAAGAGGTGGCCCAGGATGGGACAAACATTTGATGTCTAAATTTGGAGGGAGAAGCATTCCATCTAATAACTGGGCAATGTTTTTATCATAGCTCAGCCTTGCCTTGCAATAAAGGGAATATTACCAGAAGTGGTGAGAACTTCTCCAGAGTTTGGATATGGATTTCCAGTGAGTTTTGACAAAATTTGTGAAAGTCCTGGTGCAGTCTGGGATGGTTTATACCTGCCCATGGGTTCAAAGAGCTGCAATTGCTCTGCTGTGTTAGAGCAATGTCTTGGTCTTGATATTAAGAGACAGAGCAAAACCCTCTCCAGGAAAGGGCTAGACTGTGCAATTATGAAATTCCTACAGGAATTCTCACCTGTCAGTCACTGGTTGGCTGATGGTCTGGGCTAACACTGCTTTTATAACTTATAGATCATTTGGCCTCATCAGTGTCATGGTGAAATTCTTATTGTCCAGGCCAACAGGGAATCTTGTGAAGTGGAATGACAGGGAACCTCCATAACTTGTAGAAATGAGTCCCACAAGCTCGTAATGTAGTTGGTAAAAAAAAATAAATTAAAATTGTTGCATGAGTTTGAAACTTTCCTCTTTTGCCCTTTCTGATTTCATTGTGTATCCCCTACTTTTCTACAACAGAACAGAAAGTTATAGCAATTAACAGATGTTCAAGAATTTGATGAGGTAATATGAGAATCCACTCTGTGTGCCTTTATCTTTTAATGAATCTCTGTCCTGTTCCACCATTCTGATCCCTTCTCTAAATTTTATCCACCTCAGACATTCCAAAATCTTGTTACATATTTACTGTGATAAATGTCTTGGCCACTCCCACATCCATGCAAGTGGGGATGGCTTTGCTACCAGATGTAATCATGAGTGGATAACTTTAATCTTAATGAGAACTAAAAGCTTGACGCTGAGGAGGAGGATTTTTCAAGGCTCTGGCACTGAAAACAGTGACAAAATTTGGCTCCACTCTACCTACTTTTTATGTGTGTTCAAAAGAGGAAAAATACTTGCATTTTAATATCAATCCAGCAATCTAAACTGAGAAGGAAGTAATTATACATGAAAGAAATACAGTCTTTTGTAATAATGCTTTTAAAGTATCAGTTTCATTCTATCATAATATTTTTATGATTAGATTTACCTTCTAATATTTTAATAACTTTGGTATGAAGTAAGGAAGTCCTTTGTAGCTTATCTCAGAGGCCTGTCTAGGACGTGACACTTAATGAGGTTTATAATTCAATACGTCCACATCTGCATCTTTAATAATGCCTAACATTTAATCTTCATTGCACCACTTGAATCAAAAGATCTAAAATTAAACCTACTGCAGCTTAATCTAATAATAAACATGCATGACATTTTGTGCAAAATGTGTGCCTGATCAGCACGGTGCTCTCTTACAATTGTATCAGATGGAGAAAAAACAGAGTTTAATCAGCCAAAGGTAGATGGTGACATTTAACTCCTGCCGATGCAGCTACTTTGGGAAGCTCTAAGATCCTGCCCCTGAAAGAAAGGGCTGGTTGTTAGATCATTACCAAATTTAGGTCAAAATCCTACTAGTTAGAACAGCATTTGCATATACATTAGCTAGTGGTGAGGTTTTAAAACCCTCTAACTCCAGACAGGTAATTTTGGTACCTTCAGCAGGAGCTGGGACTCTGTATGGAGTCAGTGGTAAGGTGCTCCAATTTTCCCTCATAATTAACTGGAAGATGCCAGATCGAGATCCAGAATGTTGTTGGGTTTGTCACCTCAGCTCCCCCTCACCCTTGTAAAGTTTTATAATCCTGCTGGGATCATGTTATCATGTTATCCCATCCCATGGGAATGGGAGTCTCTCTGGATCATGACTTTCAGGCACAGCCATGAGGCTTGGTGGGGTTTGGTAGCCACAGCAGTTGGGTTGTGCTCCTCCACTGAAAAACGAGGGACTGCCTATGAGATGTAGATGGTTTTTTGTGCCTAGAAAGAGTTTTGGATGAGAAGGTCCCCCTGAATTAAGAGGGCTTTTCACAGGGAGCCAGAGCAGAGGCCAGGTTCTGCAGAGCTTTTTGTGGGCTCAGGGCATTGCATGGGAGCTGTGGGTTGCAGTTGTTTCTTCTCAAGTAAATATTGCTCTGTAATCAGGTGCTGTGCTTTGGGGGCTACAACAGTTCTGCCTTGTGGCATGGAGATTTATCTCTGCTGAAACTGAGACAAACAAGCTGGAAAGACAACATAACATGTAGACACAACATTTTGGAGAACAGGCAGTGTTACAATTGTCTAGAACCTGTTCAGGTGAAATGATGAATCTGTGAAAGCCGAGGCCAGGTATTTAATGAGAAGCTAAAACTTCTCATTCACCTTCTCATTTATTCTTAGGTCAGCTACACTCATAATCACTCTTTAAATTCATTACAGGTGCAAAAATTAACAGTGTCTGTAAAAGACTGGAACTTACATTAGACATTGATTTAAGACATGTCCCTCTATTTAAGAGGCTCTGGCTGTGGAGCTGTAGAGCACTCAAAGTCTTTTTTAAAAAAATGTATTTTGAGGCTGGAATGGTGAGCAACAGTGTAGCTCTTTCACCTGATAATCCCAGGAAGTCCCATCACAAATAAAAAGGCAGCTCTTCACCCACATCTGATCATGAGAGTTTGAAATCAGCTGGGCCAGGATAAGATGCTTTAGAGGAGAAGACAGACTGGGGAGAACTGTGCTGGAGTACAGAGTCCCCTGCTGAAGCTGAACCCTCACAACTCAACTGGGGTCCATCTGACTTGAATTAAACAAGGGATGATCAAAGTCTACAAATCTCCCTGATCTCCATCAGCATGGAAAACTAAAGGTAAAAATTCTCAGTATCTTCTGTTCCTTTGAAGTCAAGAGTGAGCTCTGTGCAGTGTGTAAGGACACAAGTGCCATTTGGGCAGCTGCAGGTTTACAGTAATTTTGATGTAGTGTTTATGCAAGGGGAGGGAGAAAAGCTGAATCTTGAAAATATAACTTTGCAGCTCTGGGTCCCCTCTCCTCTTTTATCTTTGGGATCTGCTTTGTCTTATGGTGATGCTCAAGGCACAATTACATCTAGTGAATCAAGAGAAACCATTGTCTTAGTTTTTTTTCAGCTATAAATCATAAAGTATTCCATTTTTGTACAACCATTTCCCCTTCTGCCTACCTTGCATACTAGTGAGGTGAGCTGAGACTCACTTGATAAAAACATCCTGAACTAAACCAGCTGGAAATAGAGAGTATAATAAGCCAGCCTACTGTCAGCCCTCATCTATTTTTGTTTGATCTGTATCTGATGGTGATTGAAAGGCTGACTCTCAGAGTAAACCACCTTGAGGCCAACCTTGAAATCGTGTCACGTTTGGCTACTTGATAGCATCTGAAGCATAATGTTAGATCTAGAGCACACACAGTACAAAAAAATAAAAAAATAGAAAGCTGGCATCTTGCTACACTGCACAGCAAAGCAAAAGCAACATGGAAAGAACCTGACAGACGTGCAAGGAAATGGAAATGCTGCAGGGCAAAAGAAGAGCAGGTCCATGTGTATTAGCAGCTCTGGGCAGGATGAAGCAGTGAATTCCTCAGGGTCCAGGTTGGCTTCATGTCTCACTGCTGTTGCAAAATAGTGTCCCTCCTCAGCACAGAGGAGCTATGGCTCAGGAGGGCTGAAATCAGAGCAGTTCCTGGAGGTAACAGGCTCTTGTTTGCTGGGGATTGGGTTAGGGAGGGGATGGAGAGTGTGTTGGTTATTCATCTGTAGGATGCTTATATAGGATGCATGAGCAGGGAAAACAAAATAAATTTTGATTATGTCAAAGTCAGGAAAATGTAACAGTGACAGGCCTGCTACAGAGGAGAGAGCATTGGTTATTTCACTTCAGTTTCTGTTTTCTGACTGACTGCCACAAATAATAGCTGGAAGGCCAAAAGATACAGATCTTCAAATCATACCTCCCTGTAAAGAAGGGAGGGGTGCTTCCAGGGGTGGTGTCACTGAGGCTAGCAGCAACAAGCCATGACAATGAGCTCCAGAAGGGAGACCTAGAAAAGTCAATGCACCTGCTGAAAAGACTGATGGCTCAGCCCAGACACCAGGAATAGCAAGAGAAGAGCTGTGTGTGAATAGCTCTCAGTTCATCTGCGCTGGAAATGCAAATAGGAGCTCCCTTGTGTCGCCATAGGTGTAAGAGATGTCATGGGGATTGCATAAAACGTGTCTTGACTCTGGCTCAATGTGCTGTATTTGATGCAGGGTTACATTTGAGATGTTCTCAAAATAGAATGATAAAAAAAAATTGTGTGCTGCTGTCACAATAAGATACATCAAAGAGGTCTAAGCATGGGCCCTGCTAGGAAATGAAGGACTTTGTAAAACAGAAGTTGCAACTGATATAGAAATTTTTTGCTTTTTCAAAACATTTCAACATCATTCTTATATTGGCTTCTCTAGTGGGTTTCTCACGAGAGGCTGAGGCCAGTCTCCTGTGGTATGTAATCCATAACATACCAGTGGTGCTTTCTAATACCATTCTGAAAGGGATTTTTTCCTTAAATGGAAAATCCATAGAAAACTATTGTGATCAATGATGAATACTTTCTATATGGGCAGCCTCTCTCTCTTGGTGTCTGTTTGAGATTTTCTATTATTCTTTTAGGAAGCAAACCTCCTTTCAGCTTCCTGACTGAGA